TAACCGGCGTCACCTCTCATATTATATGATTGTATTAGTGCTAGAGTCAAATTTCATGACCATATAAGAAGCGTGACGTCACTTTATTTATAGATATAGATACGAGAGTCGTTTGAAAAGTCCGTGCAAAAATAAAAACTGCTTGATTTTTTTTAATAAATCTTTTTTTATTTTTCAACATAGTCTCCTTTTAGGCTTATACACTTCATCCAACGTTGCTCTAGTTTGTTAATCCCTTCCAAATAATAAGATTTGTCCAAGTTTGTAAAATAGGCATTCGATTCTGCAATCACCTCCTCGTTTGAATAAAATCTTTTCCCCGCCAGCCATTTTTTCATATTAGGGAACAAATAGTAGTCCGATGGAGCCAAGTGTGGAGAATAGGGAGGATGTGAAACGAGTTGTATCCCTATCTCCATCAGTTTTACGGTCACAACTGCTGAGGCGTGAGCTGGCGCATTGTCGTGGTGGAAGAGGACTTTTTTGTGGGCCAATAGTGAACGTTTCTCTAGCAACTCGGTTTTCAAACGATCCAATAACGATGAATAATATTCGCCTGTAATGGTTTTACCCATTTTTATTATTATTATTATTATTTTAGATTATTCCTCGCGAATCATTGTCCTCCGAAGGCATTGTCTTCGCCTTATTCGGAGCAGATTCCCCCTTGGTAACCCATTGTTTAAACTATTCTTTGGTCTCAGGAGTGTAGTGATGTATCCATGTTTCATCTACAGTGATGAAACGACGCTTAAAGTCTTGCGGATTTTGCTGGAACAGCTGCAAACCATTCTTGCAATACTTCACACGATCTTGTTTTTGGTCAATCGTGAGCAATCGTGGCACCCATCTAGCGAATAGCTATTTCATGTCCAAATGTTGATGCAAAATATTATGTACCCGTTCGCTCGAGATGCCTACAGTACTAGCAATCTCACGCATCTTCACTCTTCTGTCAGCCATCACCATATCATGGATTTTATCAATGATTTCTGAAGTGGTAACCTCAGCAGGGCGTCGAGAACGTTCAGCGTCTTTTGTGCTCATATGGTCACTCCGAAAATTTTAAAACCATTTCTAAACTATTCTAATCTAAGGTGCACAATCACCATAATGTTTATCAAGCTTATGTTTAATCTCCTGAGGCGTTTTGCTTTTGCAAAAGTAATGTTTAATCAATACACGAAATTCTTTTTCGTCCATTTTTTTACAACCACTAGTAGCGCCATCTCTCTGACTTTGCACGGACTTTTCAAACCACCCTCGTATAATAGTTTTTATTGTTCAATTAAAATGCGTTAATTAAGAGTAATTTCAATGTAACAAAGTATTTTTTATGTAGATTTTAGGGCATAGATTAAGATTATAATATTTTTAATTACTTTTAACTACTAAATCATACTGAATTTTAATGTGCAAATTTAATTTGTTTATTACGTTAGAAATGTTAATTATTATAATAAAGCTGATACTCTAAACTCCAGATGGCTATCTGAGAAACATGAGTAAGAATTCGTTTCATTGATAACAGCTTAGTTATTACTGTTATCAATAAATAAACAATTAATAATTTATTTAAACAAATAATTGTATATGAAACAAAAGCGTTAATTTTGTCCATAATAACAACATTTTTATAATTTATTAATCTTAATTAACAAATTTAATATTTACATTATAAGATTTTGCAAAAATACAAAAATTGATTATAACTCAAACGTTATTAACTAATTTAATTAGTTCTTTTTTGGAATTACTTCTACAAGTGATAAACAATTGCTATATGTAAAATTTTATCATTACTTTATTATAAATATTGCGCTATTATATTAACTAAATTCATTAATTGATAACTTTTAACTTTGCTTTTTGCGATAAGTGTAAATTATACTTAAATAATCCATATCTACTTCTGTAAGTTTTACATGATTTAGAATTTTGTTAGTGCTTTCTATTCTATCATAAACAAGACAAAATGATTTGCACACTTGCGTAAACAGCTTGAAGAGGACTGTCCTTCAGGAGGACAATTCCTGCGAATACAGGCGGGAAAATCTGTGTATAAATACGCTCATATTTGCACAGGCTGATATTCTCTCCTAGCCTTGCAAAGTGAGCGCTCAAGATTGAATAAACTTGGCTTATACCTGAGTTATTTCTCTCTAGTGATTAACTAAGCAATTCTTTTCTTTCCTATTGTGATTTACGCTCGACTTATAGAACATTTCGCACTATTTTTTCAAAAGAGACTTAAACTCTCCTTATGGGACACTTCGCACCATAAGAAACTAGGGTAAAGTCTATTTTTCATTAACCCCTTCAGGGGTAGTGGTACAAATATGTACCACCTTTTTTGTCTGATTTTTTTTATATTTCCAATAGATTTTGGCATTTTACCTATGCAAATTTATACTTATTAGACCCTTAGCAGTCTAAGCTATTATAATTTGGTGAAATATTGCATTATTTCATTTCTTTATTCGTTTTTTATAAAGAAATAACACGAAAAAACGCTCTTTCTTCATAAAAAAGTCGTTTTTCTCGTAACCTGAAAAGCTGAACCTCTGTTGATTTTTTTCCGTATTCTGTACACTTAGTTTCGCATTATATTTTTTTTCATATTTTTTCGTACACAAGTTTTTTGAAAAAAATTTTTTGAATATTTCAAAAAATATATTTTTTTTATAATTCGCAATTTCTTAATTTTTTTTACATTGTTTGAGGGTAAATTATTTATTATTTCATAAATTGCAACGGTAGTCGAGTTAATTAATGGAACCGTTCGCGATTCTACTTCTCGCGCGTTAGTTCTAACAGTTAAGAGAGAGAAGGGGCGCGCGATCTTTTGAATAGGCAGTTACGCCTCAGCTGTGAACGTGAATTTACCGCCGATTTGTGTTGCACTTTGTTTTCGCCGAATAATTAGTTTTCTGGGACAATTTCGTGCGTGAGTGCAACGGTATTTTCGAGATAACAAGTAGCAGTGCAGAAGCAGTAGATTGTAGTTAATTGGAGGCAGTACAAGGCAGCGCAGCTGATAATCAAAGGGCAGCGGCAGTTGATATTTTTGCAACAACAATTACGGCTGATCACCGTAATTGCACCGCATGGTAGGTGCACCTTCCGTCATATTAAGCGATACAAAATACATTCGGTATTTTGTATATTCGTGATAGCGTTATTTTTTGTATTCGCGTCGAGCGTTAGTTCGCGGTATAATTCGAATCTTCTCTCTCTCTCTTTCTCACCGAATATAACTAATTGTAAAATCCTATTCGCGTGCGTTAGTCTTTCGGCCCTACAAAGCCTGTAGTAATTTTTTTAATTAATGTCTGTGAATTTTATTCGCCGTTTTCGTAATTTAATTTTCCTAATAGCTTAAGTAATTGAAAAAGGCTTAGGTTTTAATCCAATTACATCTAGGGGATTAAGAAGATTAGGAGTAAAGTCGCTCACACTTAAAACTCAACAAGTGCCACAAGACACGTGACTTAAGGTGAATTCAACTCCGTTTGATAGAAGACAACTAAGATAAATCATCTGACGTTAAGGCGAATACACGTACTATCATACGTGTTTAACGGAGTGGCGGTTTGCTCTGCATCGTGGGAATTTGTTCTTATATAAATTTTCCATTTTTCAGATAACCTTCCCCGTTACAAAATATGTTTATTCAGCTTTATAAATCTAAAATATTATGTCGTCATTGGGGACCTAGTAATTTTCTCTACACTAAATGGTCAATGTGCCATGTTACACGCACTATTGCTCTGGCCTCACAACAATGGATAAAAGTTATACAATTATTTTCTTTTTCATTCAGTTTTCAGTATTTTCAATAGTAAAATTTCTTAATCATTTTTTTTACCGATTACTAGGTGAATATTAGTAAATAGTGCCATTGCGGCCAAACAAAGTGATACGGTCGCAAACGACAGATCTAATATATGTCATTGAAAAAGTACTATTTATATTGCGTACTTTCATTATTAATTTTTGTATAATCAAGTTTATAAATCTTATTACTTTCTTCGCCAGATGACAGGCCATTGAAAGTGCTATTTCAGTGACATCAAAAATTTTTTGAATTTGTAAAAAATAAAATTTACTTTCTAAAATACAATTTTCTTATTTTTTTCGTTTCGTTCAAAAATTTTTTCCGATAGTGTTTCTTTACTGCTATTATCAGTAGAGAAGTCTCATTTCTCAAATTGTTATTCAAGTTGCGAAGGTAATCGCAAGTTTTCTCTTTTACAATTTGGGAAACAAAATAAATAAAAATTTGGAAAAAATAAAAAAAAAATGAAAATATATATAAAAAAAATTGCATTGATCTGCACTTTAGTCGCAAAATTCGTTCACTATATTGAATTTAAAAATTCTGACATTAGATTCGTAATCATCGTTCTTCAAAACTAGTGACTTCTTGGGTAATTTGTTTAAATAACTTTTTATAAAAAATTGCAAAAGGCAAAAGAAAAAACACGGTTTTTTTTTCGATATGTTATAAATGGCGTACTCGTAGTTAGTTTGATGTTATCTTTTCCAGTTTCGGCTTGGGCCTTGATGGGTTAATATTTATTGATGCACTTTATCTTTTAAAAGAAAACTGTCTTGTATTTTCAAAATATTTTTCACAACACTATAAATTATACTATGAAATGAATAGTTTGCAGTTTGGCAGGGATATTAAGTATATTTCATAGTTTTGAATCTATTACAAAAGAAAAGCAAGATTTCGGCAAAGAATACTAAGTATCACACCATGATGAATTGGCGATAATCAGAAATAATATAAAATATAATAGAATATACGATAAATAGTAAATAATATATATTATCCTGAAAAATATGTAGGTTTATAATGAGTTTATTTTACTATAACATTAATCTTATAAGAAATCTAACAAACGTATACTAGAAATTTCGAATGCGTAGTGTAAAAAAATACATATTTTCATGCTAACATACACTAATAACTATTTTTCATTTTCTCCTAGGAGCCTGTAGAAGATTGGCCTGTAGTAGATTGTTTAATTAGTTTTCACAGTAAAGGATTTCCTTTAGATAAAGCTATTCAATATGCTAACTTGCGAAACCCTTTTATTATTAACAATCTTCCTATGCAATATGATATTCAGGTATATATTAGATTCAGTAAATAAAAAATATTATCTTTTATTCAATTCTATTCGTAATTGTCTTACGCCTTTTCTAAATTGTTTTAGGATCGAAGGAGGGTATATGCTATTTTAGAAAATGAAGGTATTGAAATACCGAGATATGCTGTTCTAGACAGAGATTCCGCTAATCCGAAACGTAAGTTCAGTCAAAATTATGAAATAATGAGTGTGTCATTGTTCATAATTATGGAAGCTTATATTCCTTAAATATCAGTCGATCTTCTCATCATGCCGTGATTAATTAGCTAAGTCTATCTCATAAACTTGTACAATGACCTGACAATACCAATACTTGCACGGTGACATGTAGAATGACAATGACTTTGAACCTTTACCTATGTATTTTTCAACCAATTTTAACGAACACATGTATAAGAATTTAGCTTATGAATAATGATCTTTGCGTAGATGCGTTTTTAAGTTTTCAATCTGAATAATGTCACATCAACATGAAATATTTAAACTGCTGCCATTCACCGTTTCATTGTCTGATTTAAGAGATCTTTTCTTTACAGTACACGTCATTTTTAATAAACTTTCTATTACATTTTTTACCAAGTCAAAACGTTAAAAATGGATTGTATTATCTATTTAACAGTTTGTGAAATGAAAAAACATATTTAACCTTTAGAGGCCGGGAAAATCATTATAGTGGCTCAAAATAATTTCTCAGGTTAGTCTGTGAAATAGGTTAATTTTATGGTTTTCGGGCATACTGAATAGGAATTAGATCTAATAAGTCAAAAATTACGAAGCAACCATAAATCAACCCTAAAATAAGAATAAAATATCCTTTTAGTCGCGAAAATAGACTTTCTATAGTAGGGGAGAATGAATATAGTTTTCTGAGGTATTTTTCAACGCTGAATAAAATTCCAAGTTAAAAATTACGAAAAAACTATAACTAAACCAAGTTCTAACTACCCGTGCCAAGTAAAACAATTTTTCAATGTGTCAAAATTAGCATCACCCCTGAAGATGGGAAAGCCACTACAGTGGTTCGACCATTGATCGCCAATTCACATATGATTATTCCCCGATATTAGACACACATATTATGCGTTTTCTATAGAAATTACTTAGCAGTTAAAAATTCCAAATCCCCATTCTCTAAAGGTTATAGTTAATTTTTCAAAAAGCGCTTTCAAAAAAAGAAATTTCAAGTTTGAAACCTATGAAATAACTTTCTAATTCACTTTAAAATATAAAATTACCATCAAATGAAGCATTCATCTTCAATAATATGGATATTACTAGTTTTAAAACCTATTAGTGATTACCGTACTGCATTAGAAGGCAAGTATCGTAAACTTACGAAGCTGCTATTTCTCTGTTAATCTACTACAGCGGACTAGCAAGTATTCTTTTTGTGGAGATAAACACATAATAACTGAGATTGTAGAGGGGTATTGAAGAACTGAGGAATAATCCATATTCATACGAATACATAATTAAAATTAATTTATATTTTGGAAATTAATAAGAACAAATATTTTTTGGGACTTCAAATACAAGTGGATACATTAGTGAACAAAATAAATTTTGTAGATAAAACTCTCCTTTGTACTAATTTCAAGCCAAAGAAAAGTTGTTACTATAGAGGTTATATACTATTCACACTTTTAAGAAGGTTATTTATTACATTCAATTATTTGCATATCTATTGTATTTGATATATAAATAATAACTTTTGCACGTATAATAGAAAATGTACGAAATATATAATAAATCTATCACATTGATTTCTTTTATAAGAAAAACGCCAAGCCAAAGTGAATATTTTAATTGCGATGCCGTACTGTGCATTTTATGTTCATATTATAAACTATTTACGTATTTTTGCCACTTCTGTCACCGTAAATTGAAATTTTCATCGGTAAAATAAAATGATGCCCGACTTTATACACACTCGAAAGTATAATTATTTATATTGATCAATAAAATTATATAATTAATTACATTAGGGTGGAAATAACAGATAGTAAGATCTGAAAATTTTTTACGGAAAGTAGAGTTTTGTAAATATCAATAACGTTTCTATTATAATTTTTTCCATTCTTGCGAATGGAGTATTAAATATTTGGATCCTATACTAAATATGGCTCTAAATGAAAATTTCTTTAAAAAATCCCTTTTTTTTTATTACAGATCTTTCGTTATCACCTATTTTAACTAAAAATTCTCTAAAATGTTGTACTTCAGATAATTTATGAAGCTGTCTCTTTCAATTTTGTTATAAAACTCACACCCCTAGGTGCAGGAAGATCCCTAACCACAGAGTGACAGGGGGGAAGGGTATCGGTACGTTACTAAACTAGAAAGCTAATGTAACCAGAAAGTGTGTAATCGACCATATTTAAGATGTGGGGGGGAGAGTCAGAGGGTCAACTCCCTTAGACTCGGCAAAAAATAGAGTAGGGTCTATCTATGCTCGGAAGTATTATACTTTCCTAAGCAATCGCTTTGTATCTCCAAGAAATTTTCGGGAATGCTTTAAGGTTAATAAATTTATTCATTATACTCTTTGTTTATGTGTTATAATCAAAGTTGTACCAAACTTTTCAAATATTTAAAATACCGTAAAAATGATAAATTAAAACCTTAAGAATACTGACAAAACAATCGCAATGCTTTATAACGCCAAGGAATTTTTGGTGTGCTTTGAACTTGAAAATATCGTTTGTGTGTTATATCCAAAATTGTACCAAATTTTTCAAATATTCTTAAATATACTGGTTTTTAACTTTATCAGCAGTATAAGTGCGGAAAAAATTCTTTCATCAATAATCACTAATTTTATGTCGTAAAGAATATTTCGGAATTTTCAAAAATCTTTTGTGCGATAATTAGTTCCCGAGTAATTAATTATTAAAAACTTTTTTGCTTCTATCAATGATAGACCTGCTTCAAATCATCGAACACAGTTAATAAGTAGATTAAATTGTAGAAAATTAAATTTCCTAAAAGTTTTATGGAAATTAATTTAGTAATTTATGGTGGCAAGTTTAATAAAATTTATTGATGTTCGTAGACCGATTTCAAAACGTGAATAAAATTTAAAAAAATTTATTTCTAATGATTTTTTAAAATGATTCTAAAACTATGCGTGTTTAAAAGCATGCAAAGTCCTAATTTGAAAACTAGACTCTCAAATCATATTTTTTTTTTATTTTCATATTACCCTTACATTTAGAGTTTCTCCTTGTAGAATGCCACTCCAACATTTAGAATCATTTTATATTCCTTAATTTTTTTAAGCAGTGTTTAATTTTTTTAATAAAGGTCTGATAATGGTGTTCTGCAAGTAGAAAAGTTATATATGGATCCTGAGTCTTTAGTATTATATTGTATTTTGCAACGGTAGTCGATTCAATTAATCGATCCGTTCGCAATTCGGTAACTCGCGCGTTAGTACGAACAATTAAGAGAGAGAGGGGGCGCGCGAGCATTTAAATTAAACAGTTACGCCTCAGCTGTTCACGTGATTTTACCGCCAATTTGTGTTTTGCACTTTGTTTCGCCGATATAAAGTTTTCTTGGGACAATTACGTGTGCGAGTGCAATGGCATTTCCGTGACAATTAACAGCAGCAGTACAGAAGCAGTATAAAAGCTGATAGAGGCAGATCGAAGCAGCGCAGCTGATAAATAGGAGGGCAGCGGCAGCGATTTTTTTTTGTATTCGCTCCGAGCGTTAGTTCACGGTAAAATTCGAATCTTCTCTCTCTCTCTTTCTCTCACCGAGTAGTATTCATTGTAAAATCCTGTTCGCGAGCGTTAGTCTTTCGGCCCAAAAAAGACTGTAGTTATTTTTATTAATTAAAGTTAGTCAAATTTATTCACCGATTACGTTATTTCATTTTCCCAGTAGTTTAAGCGATTTGTAAAATGCTTAGGTTTTAATCCGATTACATCTAGGGGATTCAGTGGATTATGCGTTAAGTCGCCCACACCTAAGATACATCGAGTGTCACAAGTCATGTGACTTAAGGTGAGTTCAACTTCGTTGCATAGAAAACAATTAAGCGAAAACAGTTTCTGTTAAGGTTGGAAGATCTGCGTGTGGGCGCAGGGTTAACTGATGACGAAGTGCTTTGTTTCGTATCAGAGATCCTCGAAGGTAACGCGAGGACCTGGTACGATAACAATAAGTACCAATGGCTCAGTTATGTAGAATTCGTCGCTGACGCCCGGGATTGGTTCGGCACAAGTACGCAACAACAACAAAGGCTGTTGCAGGAAGTGCAGAACCGATTCCAGGGTGAGGACGAATTAGTGCGAGACTATGTATCCAACCTGATAGCTCTTGTCAATAGACTGGAGCCACTAATGCCCTTGGAGAGGTTATTAGACCTACTTCATGCAAACCTCCTTCCAAACATCCAAATTCAGCTGCATCGAAGCGAGATGAAGTCGATACGCGAATTCAACAGAAGGGCAACCGAAGTACAGAACATCTTATCCTACGGTCGTCGTCCACGTGTATTCGCAGACCCCAACTCGACGATCTTCCCTCAGCACGCCTACCAGCCGAGCAAAGGAACGGATGGTAGTAAATCCCAAACCGCTGCAATGGCTAGCGAAGGGAAGGCGCGCACGAAGAAGGAGGGAGATCCGCAGCGCGGACAGGGCGTGGAGAACCCCGCCAGGAGGCCTACCGAACCAGCGACGGTATCGGCCACGCAAGCTTCCACTTCTGATAAGAAGATAGAGGAGCGTCCTGAGGGTATCAAGCGGATGTTACACAAGTTAGTCAAAGAAAAACAAGACAGCCCTCTAGAACAGTGTAAAAGCCGATGGCGTGGGGGAAGGAAAAATTCTCCTTCTCCCAGGTCTCCTGGCGAGCGACGAGAGGGACAGAGGCAGAAGATCGAGTTCACCAAGCCTCCCCAGTGTTCCGCTTGTAGCAAACTGGTATTTAGCCGTAAATTCTGCCCAGACTACAATAAGGGAAACGGCAAGGAGAGCGAAGAGAAGAGGTCATCTTCGCGCCTCCGGTAGATTCGATCTCTCGCTGCGGGTCGTCGATGGGAAACAGCAAGTTGTCGGCGACCTAGGGATCAAAATAGGTCCTGGAAGGGAATCAAGGGAGCCCAGGACCTACTGGTACGTTGGAGCAGAAGGCGATCGAGCCCGA